TTCTGTTGAGAGACATTTAGGTTACTACCAATTTGGGGCTCTTATGAATAGAGCAGCAATGAACATGTTTGAATAATAGTCTCTGTGGTAGAATGAAGTGTCCTTTGGGTGAATGCCTAAGAATGGTGTAACCCGTTTTTAAGGTAAATCAATTCCCATCTGATTTCCATACTGATTTCCATAGTGGTTATACAAGTTTGAACTCTCACCAATAATAGATGGATGACTGTTCCCCCTTGCTCCACATCCTTGCCAGCATGAGTGTCACTAGTATTATTGAACTAAGCCATTCTGGCAGGTATAAAGTGGGATCATAAAGTAGTTTTGATTTGCATTTCCCTGATGTCTAATGATGTTGAACATTTATTTATGTGTTTCTCAGTCATTTGAATTTCCTTTATTTGTAATTCTCTTTAGAACTGTATCCAACTTTTAAATTGAGTTATTTGGTCTTTTTATATCAAGTTTCTTGCATTCTTTATTTGTTTTTTATATTAGCCCACTATTGGGTGTGGACTTGGTTAAAATCTGTTCCCTCTCTGTAGGCTTACACTGTGTCTAAAACACATTCTTTGCTGTGCAGAAGTTTTTTAGTTTCATGTGGTTCAATTTATTAATTGTTGATATTGGTGCCGGCATTAGTGGTATTGTGTTCAGAAAGCATTCCCTTGTCCAATGAGATTGAGGCTATTCTCCAATTTCTCTTCTATTAGATTCATTGTACCTGGTTTTATGCTGAACTCTTTGATCAACTTGGACTTGAGTTTCGTGCAGTGTGATAAGTATGGAACTATTTACATTCTTCTGTATGCATCCATCCACTTAGACCAGCACCATTTGTTTAAGATGCTTTCTTTTTCCTGTGTGTATTTCTGGATTATTTATCAAAAATCAGTGTCCATAGATGTGTTGGTTTATGTATGGGTCTTCAATTTGGTCTATTGATCAACCTGTCTGTTTTTATGACAATACCATCCTGTTTTTATTACTACTGTAGCTCTGTAGTATAGCTTGGAATCAGGGATGATGGCTTTCACAACTTCTTTTATTATTCAGGATTAGCTTAGATATCCTGAGTTATAAAAGGCTTTTTCTTTTGGGCTACTAGCTCCTAAATTTTGACACCGAGACTTATTATTAATTATGAATGTTCAGCATTAGCTTAGGCTTGTTTCTTGCTAGCCCTTATAACTTAATCTGTTTCCCTTCCTCTACATTTTGTCTCAAGACTTTTTTCCTTTCTTCCTTCCTTCCTTCCTTCTTTCTCTACTTCTTTCTCTCTCTCTTCCTTTCTCTCTTTCTTTCTTTCTGTATGGCTTACTTTCCTGCTGTCCCCAAGGCTGGCGACTGCCTGGCTTCTGCCCCCAGGTGTGTCTCTCTCTTTCTCCCTTGTTCTCTCCTCCTCCTCTTTCAAACCTAGATTTCTTCTCCTACACATTCTCTTTGTCCTCCAACTCTGTCTAACCTTCTCCTGCCTAGTTACTGGTCTTTCAGCTTTTTATTAGACCAATTAAGTGCCTTAGGCAGGCAAGACGAAACAAATGCAACACATATTTTCATAATTAAGCAAATACAGTACAAACAAATGTAACACACCTTTACATTTTTAACAAATACAGCAAAAACAAATAAAACATACCTTCACATAATAAAAGTAACTTTACAGCATAAAAAAATTTAACACATCTTTGACTAGTTGAAATAATAATTCCATAGCACTGAGTTTTTATGTTTCCATAACAGGTTGATAATTGTCCTTTTGTCTGTGAAGGATTGGAAATTTGAAAGAGATTGTATTGTATCTGTAGATTGCTTTCCATAGGATGACCATTTTATGATATTAATCCACTGATACATAAGCGTGGAAGATTTTGTCATCTTCTGATATTTTTTTCGCTTTCTTTCTTCAAAGACTTGAATTTTTCATATAAATCTTTCATTTTTTACTATACATATACCCCAAAGATATTTTGTATATTTTGAGGATTTTGTAAACTATGTTGTTTATCTGACTTCTTTCTCAGTCTGCTTTTCATTTGTTTATAGAAGAGCTACTGATTTTTGAGAGTTAATTTTGTAGCCAACAACTCTGCTGAAGGTGTTTATCAGCTATAAGAGTTCCCCAGTCGAATTTTTGGATCACTTATGTATACTATCATATCATCCACAAATAATGATACATTGACATATTTCTTTCCAATTTGATACCAAATTTTTTACTTTCTCTATATTTTATAATTTTCTCTAGATATTTTATACTAATCACAAACAGGCTGTTCATCACTTAACCCTTGTTCAATGTGTTTTACCAGCTGGAAATCACCTTAGATAACAGTACTAAGTTTTAGCCATTATAACAAACTGCTGTGCATTATAGGTAAAATGTGGAGAACAGACAGAAAACAAAATATCACTATTTCATCCAATACATTAAAGTTTTTATATTTCCAACGTCCAGAATATTTTTAAGGCTATGTAGATGGTCTAGTGAATAAAATATTTACAATGAAAATATGACAATTGGAGTTCAGATGCCCAGTCCTTACATTAAAAGCTGAGCAGGTGTTGAGGCCACCTACAACCCCACTACTCAATGATATAGAGGGAGCTCCCTACCTCAATGATGGATAAGCTCTGTTTTCAACCGAGAGACTCTACCTCAGAATATCAAGTATAAAGCAATGAAGAACTGGGCAGTGGTGGCACATGCCTTATTAAAGGCATTTTAAAGTGCTGGATTACCCAGCACTCCGGGAGGCAGAGGCAGGTGGATCTCTGTGAGTTTGAGGCCAGCCTGGTCTACAAGAGCTAGTTCCAGGACAGGCTTCCAAAGCTACAGAGAAACCCTGTCTCGAAAAACAAAATAAATAAATAAATAAATAAATAAAGTAATAAAGTAACAAAGTAATGAAGAAAGAAACACAATGTCAACTTGTGCCTTCCATACACAAGCATAAACATGTAAAATAAATACATGTACAACACACACTCATACACATAAAAATAAAACACATATGTGCTGGGCTGTGGATCACACTTAGGGCTTAATATATGCTAACTAAGCACTCCTCCACTAAACCACTCACCAATACTCTAACTATCAAAATGTTTAAGAAAGCCCAAGGTCTTAAAAACTAAGACAGAGGCAGAACGTTTTTCACTCTCTGTGTCTTAAAAGGAATAAAATTAAATCTTTATTTCAAGTCTCCTCTTGAGACTAACTGAAGATTAAAAGGGAAGTAAAGATGTAGACAGATGCATTAAATTTTGCTGAGTTATCATGTGTCTATCTGTGAACTTAGCCCATGGTCCTATACCCATCTATCCTATAGCTGATATAGCAGAGACCACCCACTGATGCGAATTCCCACTTAAGAAGAGCACAATTAGCAAGCTAAATCTTCCTGGAATGTCAAGTAACTGAAGTGGCTGGTTTATCAGGAAAACCATCTACGGGGTAGGGGGACCAGTAAAGATTGCAACCAAGTGTGACAACCTAAGTTTAAGTCATGGAACTCACATGACTAAAGGAGAATACTGACTCCTTCAAGTTGTTCTCTGAACTCCACATAGACACTGTGGTATGTATGTCACTCACATACAAACAGGTTTGGTTATGCTTTTTTTTTGAGATACAGTATGACTACAGAGCCTTGACTGACCTAGCACTCACAAAGATTTGCTGGCTTCTGCCTCTAAGTGTCGAGGTTAAAAGTTTGCACAGCCACACCAGGCTTGTATTTTTATATGGCTTCATTCATTCCCACTGAAACACCTAGAGTAGGTCACAATAAAAATTATCTGTAAAATAACAAAAATTTGAGTATTATAACTTAGACTGTACATGCAAAATGATGCATACCACACAGAACATAATGACTCAGAGTATAGAGAGCCTTTTATCTAGAATACTTTCAGGTTTGGAGTTTAACTCAGTGTCAGAGTGCTTACCCAGATTCAGTCTCCAGAGCTAAAACCAAAATAATAAATCTTTCATGATGTTGTGATTACAAGCATTCCCTTTATCATTACTTCAATAACCCTTTGAAGTTCGGAGGAAAACTTTAAAGGGGCACATCTTTCTGCTAGCGTGTGGAGAGGACCTGTGGTAAGTAGACCTAGTATGAGAGGATTGAATAAAATTTCCAGGATTTCCATCTCAGCAAAGAACATAATTATGCTCTTCCTAAACTGAAGTTTTGCAAGTCAACATTTTTCCATCTAGCTATACAAATAATCATATTTGTTTTGTTGATAATAAAACATGTTTTCCTGGAAGTCCCTCCTCTATATGTACCATCCCTTCAACACCCATGAGTTGAAGTGCTTCTGTGCTGAATCATGACCAAGGATGTTTAGTGTTCTTTACTTACCAGGAGCTCAGGCTCCATCTTTAGGAGTGGTACAGCCTTAGAAGTGTTCCAATTCAGACAACCATGGCTGGAAGAAAAGGATTATGTAGGCAACTGTATGACCTTGGAAGATCGACCTTGAAATTACTCAGTTTAATCCATGTTTTCTCAATTTTTAGTGATTTTCTAGTCATAATGGAAAAAATAGAAAATCAATACTTATAAAAATTTAGGTCTCCTCTCACCTTATGAGCAATTTGTGTGTAGTATTCATTTCTTTCACAGTTTTTCTGATGCCTAGGTGGTTTTTGTCATTGTTTGTAATGGCAAAACATTAGTAAGATAGAAAGATAAACATTTTAAGTACTGTTATATCTACTTCATTGGTAATAGTTTCATTCGCATTGTTATGTAACCATCACTATCATCCATCTACAGTACATTTTTGTCTTCACTAATCCAAAAATTTATACACTTTTAAACTTTCCTTCCTCTCACTCCACCACTTTGCCAACTACTATTCTATTATGAAATGTAAGTGGGGATTAAAATCATCAAAATCTAAAATTAATGTAGCTGCAGAATCAGGATGGATGATCTAGAAGTTTTGCTCTGCAGCACTTACCAACCCATACTCTAAATGGGTGCCACAGGCCCTGAAATTACAATGTTCTGCTGCAGAGTTTCCTCACTGCTCTTTTCATGTCCTTGTTCCTCAGGCTGTAGATGAAGGGATTTAGCATGGGTGTGACCACAGTGTATATCAGTGAGGCCACCGCAGTATTGCTGGAAGAATGTGATACAGCTGATCCAAGGTATACTCCAATGGCTGTTCCATAAAATAAACAAACAGCTACCAGGTGAGAGCCACAGGTGGAGAAGGCTTTCCACCTCCCACCTGATGATGGAATTCTCAGAATGGAGAAGATGATTTTGTAGTAAGAGAAGCAAATTCCAGAGAAAGGGAGTGAACCAGAGATGGCACCAACAAAATACATGACTATGTTATTTATGAATGTGTCAAAGCAGGCAAGATTAAGGAGTTGTGCAGGGTCACAGAAGAAATTGGAAATTGCTACATCCTTGAAGTGGATGATTTGTAAGGCAATGAAGTTGTGTGCCTGAGAATCCATAAGACTAACCAAAAAAGACAGGAAAACTAAAAGGCCACAGAGGCGAGGATTCATGATGAGTGAGTAATGCAGAGGTTGACAGACAGCCACAAACCTATCATAGGCCATCACAGTCAGAAGCATGCCATCCATACATCCAAAAAGGATCAAAAATGACATCTGTGTAAGACAACACACATAGATGATCTCTTTGCTGTGAGTTTGGATGTCCACAATCATCTTTGGAACTGTGGTAGAGATAAAACAGATGTCAGCAAAGGACAGGTTGCAGAGGAAGAAATACATGGGGGTGTGGAGATGGGAGTCAGAACTGACAGCCAGAATGATGAGCAGGTTCCCAAGTACCGTGACCAAGTACATGGAAAGGAACAGTCCAAAGAGGATGGGTTGCAGTCCTGGATCATCAGAGAATCTCATAAGATGGAATTCTGAGACACGTGTTAGGTTTTGTCGTTCTATGTTGTTTGGACAGCTTTTAGAAATGAAAAGATAGTTAGCAAAAGTGACAGGAGCTTCTCATCAATCAACACTGTGCCTGTATCTTGGACTAAAGCACCTGATTCTGTCTTGTAAAATTATCAGGTGACTGTACATCTTTGGCAATATTTACGATTTGCTACAATCTCACTATTCTTTTTAAACTTATTGTTGTTGACAATTTCATATGTGTATAAAGTATGTTATGATTATACTATCCCATTACCCCATCGATCCATTTCTCACCCATGATGACATCTTTTTATCAACTAGTCCCCTCCTACTTTTATTCCTTTTTATGCAGGCCTTGTACAGGTGGTGCCAGTTGCAATGTGTTCATGCATGCAATGATCACGCCATATCCAGAAGACAGCATTTCACAGCACTCCCCCCCATCCTCCAGTTTTTATATTCTTTCTGCCTGCTCATATATTATGTTCCATGGGTCACAGAGAATATGATATAGATGTCCTTCTTGGAACTCAACACTCAACAGTCTTCTCAGCACTTAACCCAGTTGTGAGTCTGAATTGGCCATCACTCACAGAAAAAAGAAGCTCCTCTGACCAAGGCTGCAAGTGGCACTAGCACAAAGGCACAAATACAACTTATTTCCCATTGGCTTGTGTTACTCATCCCTTTCTACACTCATTTACATTAGAGATATTCTTAGGAAGAGCTTACAAGACCAAAAGTATTAAATATACCATCTCCGATCACAATATATTACAAAATATACAAAATACAAAATAATAAAAATATAATTTAAAAAATCCTTCCCATGCTGAGAAAATACAATCTTAACTAAAGGAAATCAAGATACTACCTAAAATATCTATGTTATACTAAGATGATATATGAATTGTCACGATATGATAGTCTGTAAGACTAAAGATTTTGATATGGACTATTTATAAAATTTCTGTAAGGCTAAAGGTCACATTTTTGAGATTCAAAATATCACTGAAAGTTCATAATCCCAGAGAATTTTTTATGTTTCATTTAACTCATGGAGTTGCTTAATTCTTTGATTTCTCTTTCATTAATTAATGAAAATAAGGGCCTACTTAAATTCATAGATTGTTTTCAAACAGCTTCACTCCCTGACTTTAACTCTGCCAAGCGTCCACTTTGACAAATGTGCAAATAACTCTAAAGTTCCCTTACCACATAATGCATTAGTGACCAACATACCTGAAATAATTAAATAATGATGAACTTTTAAGAAGTATTTCTGAAATATTTTATTTTCTAGAATTTTGTATTAACCCCATACAGTTCTATGAAAATATCCTTTCTATAAGATTACCTTTGCTATTTTTCTATATAGTATTCACTCCTTTATATGATCGTAAATTCTAAGTACACAAAGGAGAAATATAAACTCTTAAGCCTCCCAGAAGAAGGTTTTTCATCTAGTTGAAAGAACTCTATGCTAATTTTCTCGCCCAAATAGGACCCCTTGCCTAGTAATGTGTGGGAGATGCCAACACGACTGAGAATCAGTGTGAGAGGAGAGCAGATTCTAAGAGTTCCTGGAACCCAACCAATCCCAAAAGTCAGCTCAGTCCTCAGAGCAGAATATTTGCATGCTGTTATTCTCCCCTCAATCCCAAAAGCTACATTTCTTCATGACAAAGACAGTGTTCCTGACAGTGCTTCTACCCTTCTAGCATCTCAGTGCACACTTACTGCACTGGGATATGTCTCTGCAGGGGCATTACCAACTGCTTCATTCCTGCATAGTATTCACCCAATCCACAGGCTGAATGCTCAGGACTTGAAAACAAGACAGACTCAAGTGAAAGAAGGTGTCCAGAAGAAGTAAGAGACATTGACTGAAGCTGGCAAATTACAAGTTTGAAGGTACTATCTAATAACTTCAATCGTGTGACCTTGGGGGTTCAATGCACACAGCTCCTAATTAGCCAGTTGGTACACATTATCCCCTGCTTTGGGGATTTATTATGATTAACAATAAAGAGAAAAGAGAAATGTGCTAGGAAATTTCAGGAAAGGCTTTCCCATTGACCTTCCAACTTTTGCTAATAGAACATTTGTGTAAAACTAAGACTACTATGTTTTCAGTTTACTTTTCAAGATCGTATTTCACTGTGTATGCCTTGTTGACCTGGAACTCTGTATGTAGACCAAGCTGACTTCAAACTCACAGAGATCTGCCCCCAGGTAGTGGTATTAGATGTGGACACCATTATGCCCCACAAGACTATTATTTTTCAGTTCAGCTTGGGTTTTTGGCATCTGACAATGCATTGCATTGCTCAGGAAATCAGAGTAGAAGCAAATCATCCATACTAATCACCACATACTATTTCCATTTCTCAGGTTTTGTCTCTAAGGAAAAGGTCTTATTTTCATTTCCTTTCCCTTTTTTCATGCTAGTAAGTTTTCCAACATAATATTTTCATAGGTTATCTGGGACTTCACATCATGCACCCCAATCACACTCACTTCCCAGTCCTCCTAGATCCACCCTTCCATGCTTGTGGCCTTCCCCCCTCCAAAAAAAATAAAGAAGAAGAAGAGGAAGAGAAATAGAAGTATGATAAAGAGGAAGGCGAAGAAGAATAACATCCAGTTTGTGTTGCCCATATACTCACTGGAGCATGGAGAGCTGGTTAAAGAAAACTGAGCCCTTCCCAACTGCACCATGGTCAGAAACCATCAACTGTGGAGAACTACACCTCAGCACCCTTATCACAATGTTTAAGAGTTCTCTTTGATGGCTTTCTGTCTACACTGTTACTTTTTGGGAGTGAGTAGTTGCCACAAAAGCTTTCTATGTTCCTTTTTCTCAACTGTAAATCTGCAGTCATAGACGCCACTGCAAAAGTAGCGTGAGTAGTTGCCACAGAAGCTTTCTATGTTCCTTTTTCTCAACTGTAAATCTGCAGTCATAGACGCCACTGCAAAAGTAGCTTCCTTGCCCTTTACAGTCAGTGGTAGCGTGGATCATGAACTTCCACAGACGCACACATGAACTTGCACAGACCACAGACTACAGCCACAGTAGAACCATGGACCTAGACCTTCATGCTAGTATTTTATGTATAAGAGAAATATGAGCTTTTAATAATTGGATTGAGTCTTCAGTTCTAGCAAATTCTCCCAATGGAATTACATAGAACAAAATTTTTGATGGTTGCATACCTATTTTATAAAAAGACAAAAGGAAGCAAACCATTTTTCTTTTTTCAGATGAATCAAAATAGTTAAACAAATGACATACTATGTTTTTATATCATTATATACATATATTCAAATTGTGATGCATATGTTTATCTGCTCAATTTGATCATTCAAAATCCATTCTTCTAGCTTCAAATAAACACACATCCTTATATACACACACATTTGAATGAACTTTTCTAACATCTACCTCCTGTCTACTTTTCAAGGCCTCTTTAATCATAACTTCTATGAATCACCTTCTTACCTCCCATGCATAAATTATATCACAGTATAAATGTCGTTTGATTTGGTTTCTCATACTTCCAGTTCCATACATGCTCTCTTAAATAGCAGAATGGTGATAAACAACCCATCCTGTGTTTGTCCCAGGCCTCCCATTTCCAATTGCATGTTCTTTCCCATTCATCAACAGTCACATAGGCGATTTCCATTTCCTAGCTCCTCTAAACAGTTTTACAATAAAAGTGAGGGAGTCATCAAAGGGCTAGTGAGAACATGGCACTAGGGAAATTCCCAGGAATCCAGAAGGATGACCCCAGCAAATAGTCTAAGCAACAGTGCAGAGGATGCCTAAACTGGCCTTCCCCTGTAATCAGATTGATGACTACCTTAACTGTCATCATAGAACCTTCATTCAGCAACTAATAGAAGCAGATACAGAGATCTAGAGCAAAGCACTTGGCCAAGCTACTGGAAACCAGAGTCCAAGAGAAGGAGGAGTGATAATATGAGCGAAAAGGTCAAGACCATGATGGTGATACCCACAGAAGCAGGTGACCTGAGCTAATGAGGGTTCATTGACTCTGGAATGATAGTGGGAGGAACCTGCCTGTAGGTACACAGGTTCCCCATTTTTCCCGAGGTGCTATGCAGGGCTGTTCTGCTTCCTGGTTCCACTGCAGCAGCTTGAGGATGTAGCATAGAACTGCCCTCTCCTGTTATGTTAATATCACCTACGGCCCAAGGGTGTAGCTCAGAGAGAACTCTTCTGTCATGGTAATTCCACCTGCAAGCAAGGTTCTCGCCCGCAGGCAAGGTTCCCGGGTCAGCTTTTCTCTGAGCCTGAGCACGCCCACCTGGCTTCCTCTTTTCTCTGTTCAGCTGCTGTCCGACCTTGGGTGCGACCCCCTGACTTTTCTCTTTCCTTGATCCTGATGGGGGGCTGGTGTCCTTTTGCCCCACAGTATATATACCCGACTTATGCTTAATAAAGCTGCCATTTGCCACTTGCTCTTTGGCAGATGAGCCGGTCTCTTTATGTGTGTGTCGTCTGTTCAAACCCCTAGGACATGCGTCCGTTCTCATGGGCTCGAGTCAGGAAAGCGCGCTCCTGTTTCGAGGTTCGGGTGTCCACAGAAAAGTGCGGAAGCTTACAGACCTGCCTAGGACCAAACTAGGCCCATTGAATGTGGTGGACAGTTGTGAAGCTTGAGCAGTCTGTTGGGGTACTGGCAGTGGGACCAGGATTTATCCCTAGTGCTTGAACGGGCATCATGGAGCACATTCTCATTGGAGGGATACCTTGATCAGCCAAGATGTAAGAATGAGGGCCTTGGTCTAGCTTCAAAGTGAAGTGTCAGACCTTGCTGACTCCCCAACTCTTCCTGAGGAGTGGATGAGTGGTGAAGGAAAAGGGTGGGATGGGAGGACGAGAGGGAGTAAGGATGGGGATAGCTCTGTATAATGAGAAAATATTATAGTAAAAAATAACTTTTTAATTTTTTTAAACTATCTTTTCTCACTTTACATGCCAAATTCATTTCCCACTCCCTCCCCTCCTCCTGCTCTCTCCACCTTTCCCCCCCACACACACCCCATTCTACTCCCCATCCACTCCTCAAAGAGGGTAAGGCTTCCCATGGG